GCAATGTCTCCGCCCGTCTTCATACCACCAGCATAATCGGCTTGCGGAGTAGACGGAGCTGTTGCTACGGCTGTTTGTGGTTGACCACCGGCAAGAAGTGCCGTAGAAATACCAGCACGCCTCATACCATCAGCTTGATTTACATAAGCGTTACGTTGATTTTGTTGAGCCTGCTTATTTGCCTTATTCATCAACTTACGTTGATTTTCCATATTCTGTTGATTACTTATCGCAGTTCCAGCAGCGCCAATACCTGCACCTGCCAAAGTAGCTAATACACCCGACATATTTAAATTCCTTAAATTAAAAAGTTAAAAGAAAGGGGCGGAATTTTCCGCCCCTTATTATCCAGGCGTTAGGCCTTAGAAACAGAGCCATTTGCACCCTTTTCTTCCTCAAAAGTTTCATAAGATTCACTAATCGGAAGCATAGGTGCATAATAATCCACAATCACAGCATTATGACAAATAAAATTATCGTCATTCTGTGTAAGAGTGTCAAAACTCCATCCCGAGCCATCGCCGTCAAGAGAAGCCAAATGAGCCATATTCAAGCCATTAACGGGGTTGTTAGGCGTAGAACCAACATTTGCAAAAATACGACTAAAGTTAGACAACCAAGGATAACGGCTAGAGTAACGCCAAGATGTTCCAGCAGACGGCAGCATACCAGCGGTAACAACATCACTTTTAATGCTATTAGTGGTTCGACCAGAAGTAGAATCAAAACCAAGCTGTCTGCGACCAATGGGAATCAATTTATCAAGATGATACGGAGCATAAGTATCAATAGTAGAACCACGACTCATATCGCCACCACAAATGTTACGGGCAATTTTATACTCGGTATAACGAGGAACAAACCCAAATAACGCAGACAAAGGAGAATCACCAATCAAGTCCTGCGAAGTCAAATCTTCACGATTGAAGTCTTGCAACTGAACGGAACTATACGGATTTCCAACGATCTGCATTTTTTGTGTAGCAACCATACCAGCACGTTCAAAGTCGGGCTGATAACAAGCGTACTTATCCAAGTTCATAAGCGTCTTATCCACAGACTGACAATAACCAGCCTCAGGAATAATAGCGTTAAAGGAAATCCAATAGCCATCCACATCGGCAGTCCATTTAAAAGACTTACCACCCGTATAGCCAACAGATTTGCCACCAAACTCACCAAGTGCACGACCACCAGTTGACGTAGTATCGGCAAGAGAAGTAACATCACTCACAGAAAGAGGAACTTCAGTATGACCGATAAACGGACAAGGAACGTCTTCATCGTAATGTTCCTGCCCCATCGCATTCAAAGTCTTAGCAATATTTTGTCCGAGAATAGTCTGGCGATTTACATACTTATAAGCCTTGCGAAGCAACTTTGCGTCAAGTTCACTGTGGTCAGTTCGGTTAATATAAATTAAACCATTATTCTTATCAACGGGGTTGTTAACAGTTCCACTGACAGAACTTTCGCCCGTATCAAGAGCAGAAGAAGTGGAGAAATCACGAGCAGAATTCATGGAACTGTCAAAATAATTATTGACAATACGAGCGCCAAGTCTAATAAAAGAATTAATAGACGTTACACTAAGAGGAGAATGAAGACCGAAACCGCTAATATTTTCAGTATTAGCGGATACGAAATCCTGCTTATCACTTACCCAACAATTAGACAAATCACGCAAGAACTGCCAAAGAATAGAATTGTTGTCATACCAAAGGGCATTAAGGTCTACAAAACTTGCGTTATCCACAAAAGTTGTAGGTTCAGCCATACGGAAACGCTGGATTAATTTATAGCAAGGGGTCTGTTCCCAATTCTTATAAAGGGTAACACCAAAAAGTTCAAAATAGGCACGATAATACGCCATCAACGGAAGGATAGACACTTCTGTTGTGCACTCGGAATCCAAAGGGTATCCACAGACCTCCAAAATCTTCTTAAAACGTCTTCCATAATTAGAAAAACGGAAAGAATGTGAATAAATTTCAGTAGTTGTTGCCCAAGTAGAATTTTCTTCGTGGCCATAAAAAGTATAATCCGCATTGTCCATAATCATAAGAGGGTCTTTATCCGTTACGGACGAAGTACCCGATACATCATTAAAATGACCCGCAGGACAAGGAATATCGGCCTTCTGTACGGGAGTCAAACCACTACTATTCGCATATCGTCCAATAAACCAAGCAAGGTTATAGGTACGAGGATTTCCGCCATACTGAATACCAACGTCAGGAAGCCAAGGTGTACCAATACGAGAAAAAGAACCAGCATCGCCCTTTGTAAAAATTGTCCTCAACCAACGAGTATTACTACCATTAGGGATTTTACGATAAGACCAAACTAAGGAACTATCCCAAGGGCCGTTAGCGAAATCGCCTGCATTTCCCTGAATTTGTGCAAACTGATAATCGGCACCGACAAAGCAATTTGCAAATAACTTGTTAGCGGCAATATGAGGGAGCTGAGTAGGAATATTTTCAGCACCAACACCAGAGGCAGTGGCAATAGGTTTCTGTGCCTGCCAAGCGTCATAAAGAGGGAACAAATCTTTTTTTGCTACAAAGAGATTATAATTGTGCAATTTCATACGTCCAAAACACGGAGCTACCAACGGAGCAAGACGAGTTAAATTCTCAGCCTTAAACCTCATTTTGGAGTTAGCCATCATTTCGTGAATAAACAGAGGTTCAACATCACCAAATTCCATAGTAGTATTAGCGTCAAAGGAAAGGTCAAACTTATTAACACCTACTCCATCAACGCCTATTGAAATTTTACCAATCTTATTGTTACGCATTTTCATACTTCCTTTTTTTTAAAATTTTTCAATTTCATTTTCGTTTTCATTGTTTTCAGTCCAGGGCTCAGTAACATTAATACTATCACCAAGAATCTTTGTATCAACTTCCTTGATATTAGCGCCACTCTTAAGAAGACGCTTTAGGTCACCTTCACCACGAAAAGGGACTGAATCATACTGACGTGTAAAAGAAACCTTAACGTTGTCATCCTCATCAAGATAAACAACTTTTTCGTTACACACAGCACCGACAGAAGCAGTAATAAAAGGCTGCACTTTTCTAAACGGCATTATACACCTCCAATATGAGATACAATACGAATAGCTGTATCAAGGCACGACTCGGGCGAACCAAATACGCAAGACTTAACAATAGCAAGCGTAAGAGCAAGGCAACAAAGAATAGTAGCTATATTCTTGCACGCTTCAATTTTTTCATTTTTCTTTTCCATTTAAATTCTCGGTTCAAGGTTAAAAGATTTCCAAGTCCGCTGCGCTTTAGCTTCCGCATTATCCCTAACTTTACTAATCAAAGAAGCAAAACCAAAGACAAGTGAAGTAATTCTGTTCATTCTACGAACTTGAGACGGGTTAAAATGTTCAAAAGGCGTATCATAAATAAGGCTCTCGGGAACATAACGAGAAAGAAAAAGTTCACTAGGCTTAACTTTGGGAATAGCATACTCATTACGCGAATATCCGCTAACATACCAAGTAGCAATATTATTCCTGCCATACCTACTTACAATACGCCTGCAATGTTCAGCATAATTTTTAGCTAAAGCAATGTCGCATCCTCCATTGGTGTAAAACACCGAATCACAAAGGGAACTAATAATTTTTTCATAATACTTTACCTTTTTGTCAAAAATTTCACGATGATATTTAATGAAAAAAGCATTTGCTTCCTTACGAACTAAACGCTTAAGGCATTTTTCAGTAACCAAGTCTTCATTAAGCAAAACACCCGTTTCATCGGTTTCAACAACCTTATAAGTTTGTGTTCCTTCCTCAAAAATGTACTTATTATCAAAGATAATCTTATCACGCAAGTAAACGGGAATACCACGAGAATGCTCTTCTCCGTCAAACTTATAACCATTGATAAGCAAATCTAGTTTTTCTACATCGGTTTTTCCTTTAAGCAGGGAAATTCCCAATTGACGGGATTGAATATGAAACGAACAACAGTTTTTATATAAAGGATTTTTTTTATTGACGCCTTTAGGAATGTTATTTTCATAATCAATATCCTTACAAACATACTTACAGACATACTTCACAGCACCAAGAAAACGCCCGTCTTCGTGAGGTATTACAAAAGGCTTTTCAGTATTAGAACCATTAAAACCGCCTCCGACGTACTTTGGAAACATAAAGCCAAATCTAGACTGCCAATAATCTTGAATCCAATGATGCAATTCAGTTTCGTCAATCGGATTAAGCATTTCAGCAGTAGAATTCCATAAGATTAAAAAATGATAATGTGGTCTATGACGCTCACCACCATATTCACTACAACAGAGCCAAATAGGGGTATTTTCACCATCGTAATAGATACGAGAATGCTCTTCCTTAGTAATGGGGTTATTTTTTTTCCACTCTCTAAACTTTAAGACTTTTAAATCAAGTCCATTCTGTTCAACATATCGTCTTGCTCTCTCATAATCTCCGATACGCCCAGTAGACCGAAGATATTGTTTATATCGTTGGCGGAGCAAGGAACGCTCGTAACTTCTGCTCCGTGAGAATAGATAATCTCGCAAGGATTTGAATAATTCTTGACAATGCTTCTTATTAAAACACGGCGTTTTGACATAATCACCTTCCGTAAAGAGATTTTGAGGAATAAACGGGGTCATCTCTCTAGGATAACCACCTTTTTTTGTGCCATAAGTCAACGTACCAAACCCAAGCAGTGGTATCAACGCAGAGTACTAATCGCTCATCATACGAAAGGCCCATTGATTTTGATATGACTTCCTACATTCCAAGCAATGACCGCAGGGAACGTACTGAAGTGTCACGCCGTCAATGCGAGAAGATTTAACTTTCATTGGACTTAAACACATGACTACAATATATGTTATTTAAAAAACGCTGTCAATAGATAAAAGATATTTTTTTGTTTTTTTAGCATTCGTTCGCTGTCCACAGACACGCTCCTCACCCAACAAGGGGCTAAATTGGTATTTAGTGCTGTAGTTAAGACAAGTAAGCAGCCTCCGTCTTACGGGAGGCATACTACTTACTAAACTAAAAGAAACGAGCAAGAAGTAAAGCTACTTTTCTTGAGCAAATAGATAATTACCAAATACAAAAACGTGTACACGCATAAATGCACGCACACGAAAGTAGTATTAGTTAATTATTCTATTTTCTATTTTTGGGGAGAAGAAATCCAAATAGAGGAGGGAATGTTTTGGGAGTGATAGGCGTCATTTATAGCGATAGCCTCAGCATAAGTATTCGCAGGTGTTG